GTTGGCCAAACAGTGACTGCAGCCAATCAGCTGTCGTCACTGTTTTGGTATTCAAGTGGCCATTCGCCTGCATTTGCTGGAAAAGAATTGTCCAAGAGACCCAAGTAAAGCACTTTGACTTACCCGAACCCCGCAGCTGGCTCAAAGACAACTGCAGCAACCACCTCCCCTCCCTAACCCCATAGTTCTCTTTTAACAGCTCCTTTTGGTCTAGGGAGGAAAATAAAAAAAACTTATGCCACTCGATCCTCAGAGCCGGCTTGCACTTAGATCGGTCCTTCCAGCCTTGCCCCCTCCGCTCTAGCAGCCTAAGGTCCTGTTAGTCATCACGTCCAATACACTGTGTATAGGACACCATGGGACATACCATTGCTGGAGTGTAAGAGGAGACAGGCTGGAGAGAGCATTGTCACAGCCAGCCGGTTCTGAGGTTCGGGTGAGCATTTCTTTGTTATTTTCCTCCCTAGACCAAAACAAGCAGTTAACCCTTGCAGTGCAGGGGTAGCCTCACTGCAAGGGTTAATAATAGTTTTGCCCGGAGTTAGTCTTGCAGTGTGGGAGCAGTTGTTCACTTTAACTGTCCTGAATATGACACTGCTATATGACTTTCAAACCACAGGCAACTGTAAACACCAACACACGCTGGCATTTCTGTGGGGAAACTGCTGCAATTCTGTTGTGTTGTGCTAATCCCTACAAGTAAGGCCGGGTACTTTAAATTCACACATTCATTATTTCAATATCAACTTCCAATGCCCATTTTGTATTACGGTTTGCAACCTCTACAGTACCCGCTTATCACAAACAATGCTAATATCATAGCCAACTGATGCCACCTACTGATACGGAGCTGCAAGGAGAAAAAGGTTATGAAACAATCTGCACCACAGAGACGCATCTCTGAAAACTGGAGCAAAAACGTTTTCTATTCTCCTGAAGAAAAACATGAAACCTCATTGGTTACTACAGACAACAGCTTCAATCCCGTCTTCTCCAGTTTACATGAATCAGGTTCCTTGATTAGAAAACAAATATCAACAAGTTTTAATGAGAGATATTTACACACACTCATAAAATGAAGACGTTTCCTTTCAATGTAAAACCTTCATCACAGTGACAGCTCAGCACAGCGTTACATCACAAACTCTTCTCATAGGACAGGCTCGTTACATTGGAGGGCCAGATTCATTCTTCTTTCATGATAGATATATTGTATAATGATAACGTTGTGACCTGCCACACTGACACTTATGCTGCTATGCACACAACAATTTCCACCTCATTCAACCATCATTCACAAACACAACCGAAAGATTGTAATCAATGTAACAATCACAGCTGGGAAACAACTAAAACGCTTGGTGGTAGTTTGCGCTGATCTGCTTGTTCATCGATGTGACTGAAAGGAAGCTGCAAGTGGTTGTAATTACCTGACAAGTGACTAGAGGTGTGAAGAGGACAACCCCCAGTCCAGTTGTGGAAGTGGCATTCCCCTCCCCTTTGTGACGTGTAGCTGAAGAGCAAGAAATGCCCCGGCCGCAACTGATTAGGCCGGGTGGGGGCGTCAGTGACAGTTTTGCATGGCCTTGGGCGAACTTGCTTCACACCAAGCTCCGCCCATTGCTACAGCTGACACACGTATGTCCAGCATTAAAGGATAAGCGCACTTTAAAACAAAGCCCAACCTCCCTCCCCACAGATGCAAACTTATTTATTACAGGTATTTATATAGCACCAATTTACACAGCACTTTACATAATTGCACATTCACATCAGTCCCCGCCCACAAGGTGCTTACATCCCAAGGTCCCTATCTTATATGCATACATAAGAGGGACAACATAGAGAGGAGCCAACTAACCTTACATCATTCATGTCTTTGGGGTGTGGGAGGAAACCCGAGTACCCGGAGGAAACCCACACAAGCACAGGGAGAACATGCAAACTCCTTGCACATAGTGTCCTGGCTGGGATTTGAACCAGGGACCCCTAGTGCTGCAAGGCAGAAGCACTACGCCACTGTACATACTTACCTCAATCATCATCCAGCGGTGCAAGTGTTCACTGTTCTGGCCGCACCTGCTCATTCGTGCTCCATAGGCTTCTATGGGGTTGTGTCCTGTGGCTGGAGACAATCAGAGATCTCATAGAAGTCTATAGCGCTGTGTTGTGCAGACACGGCCGGGACAGAGAAGAGTTGCGGCACTGCATGAAAACAAACAGCGGAACCTCAGCCGCCATATCAAGGTATGTATGCATCTGTGGAGGGGGAGGGTGGGTTAGTGTAGGTCAGGGGTAAAAGGATACAGAGCACTTCACCTTTAGGCCTCATTTGCAAGAGCAAAAGTGTATATTGCGTATATACGAGCGCATTTGCGTGCACTATTTGCATTCCCAGAATGCATCATTCCTAATAGAAACTTTAATGAACTGTACGCACGTATGTACGCGTAAACATGCACATGCGCGTAAAATACGCAGAAATACGCTGCCCGGACGCATCTTGGTTCCATTCTGTTTTTGCGCATGTTTACGCTACGCAAATATACGGCTCAATACGCAGCTATGTGTATGGAGCCATTTATTTGCATATGGTACAATACGCACATACGCGCGTACACGAATGAGGCCTTATACTCCAGCACTGGACTCCAGGAAACTTTATGGATTAAATACATAAGAGAGGGCTGTTGTATCGCCAAAGGATTGCATTTCTATCCATTTCTGAGATTTACACAGCTCAGTCCCACAGCAAAACCATGTCTGATTTTTCTCTGCCACAGTTAAGTCATACGTAAAGGTCTTGTCCCTCCCCAGCCTATGATTGGACCAGTAAAAGGAGAAGCAGAAGACTGATAAGCTCACCTCTCTGTCACTCTGCTCTGTCAGCTTGCTCCTTGTTACCACATGAGCACTGCAGCACAACTGCTTGGCTCCTTGTGCTGCTTCTCCTTCTCCCAATCTGAGCTCTGCTGTTCAGTGGACTGCAACAGGCTGATATTTAAAAAATACATTTCATAATATATTACTGAATACAGAGCTGTATTCATTGGGTTTTTATGTCTGCCTGGAGTTCAGCTTTAAGCTTTTATTACCTTAGTAAATGAGGTGTTCCAGCAGTTAACTTAGTAATAACACAGACAATAAAAGTAACATAACCTGTTACAAGCGAGCACCCAGAGTGCCTGCTCATACCTTTAGGCTCTCTTACACAAGCTTGTAAAAAGGGTGGCTCAGTATCTGTTCCTGATGAGTACCCCCCCTGAGCTTTGGGGGGCAGGAGGATGAGTTGTGCTGCATTCTTTATGCCGAATGACAGACGCTGCAGGTTTTGTGCATTTCACTTAGTGGTACGTCACTAAAAGTCATACATCTGCTGTGTGTATCTCCTCTATGGGGACAGCAACACAACTTGTATACGCAGAGAGCCCCCCCAAACCTAGGCACGCTATACACAATCCTTGATTTGATGCACAGACCATTGTGCTCCGGCTCGGGGGATCCCCGGGTGCACAGACAAAGTATTCCAATTTATCAGGAAAGACATACAGCCATTATGGAAGTTGCAGGTCCCGGGGCTGGTATTCAGCCATCATTACCTCACAGGACATTGCATGGTAGAAAGTGCACAGATCCGCTGTCCGCACAGCTCACTGGCGGCATGCTTTTTTGGGGTCAGTAAATCACTAGGTGGGAAGGTAAGAATAAGCATGACCGCATGGGAAAGCAACTTGCACAAGTTTGGCTGGGTACAGTTTGGCTGGGTGTTCACGGGTGCTGGGTAAGTGTGTTAACCCTTTGCTGCTGACTCCTGGCGGCTCTTTAAGGGGATCTTAATGTTGGGAGTCAGAGATGGTTTTCCCGATTATGTGATTGGCTGTCCTAGCAGTCACATGATTGGGAGCTTGGCCCACTGACTGATGATTGTAAACAGTGACTGGGAGCTGACAGTGGCAGCTCGGTCACTGTGCTGTGAGAGCGATCTCAGTGCCGAATGGCGGACTGGCTGACGCATATATACATACAGCCAGTGTTACGGTTCACCTATCGTGCTGACGCATACATGCATCACGACGATGGGAAGGTGAAACATTTATAGATCTACTAGATTGTAAGCTCTTATGAGCAGCGCCCTCCTGTACTGCAATTGTATCTGTACTGTCCCCCTCCATTTTGTACAGCGCTATATAAATCCTGTATAATAATAATTATAAAAGGACTTGACAATCTTTCTTACTTTTTTAATTTTTAATCCCTGCTCCTCACCAGGTTCTGTGCCCCCCCATCCCCCTCCCTCACCCGGGTCCTGTGCCCTCCACCTTCCTCCCTCACCCGGGTCCTGTGCCCTCCACCTTCCTCCCTCACCCAGGTCCTGTGCCCTCCACCTTCCTCCCTCACCCGGGTCCTGTGCCCTCCACCTTCCTCCCTCACCCAGGTCCTGTGCCCTCCACCTTCCTCCCTCACCCGTGTCCTGTGCCACCACTTTCCTCTCTCACCCAGGTCATGTCCCCCCCCACCTTCCTCTCTCAGGTCATCTAGAAGCTGGCTGTCTCTTCTTGGTTCTTGTAGCCAGTCCACTGATGAAGTGTATGTGTCGGGGGGTGGCAGCAAGACCCAGAATGAGACCCCCGGCCTCCTAAAGACGCACTACGGGCGCATGTGCCATACATTGCCCCAAAGACTCCTAGAATGCGTGACGCGAATATCCCAGGAGGTTACAGGATGTCATTCCAGAAAAAAGAATACAAAAGTCCAGGGACGGTCACAAAGAAAATAAAAAGGAACTTAAATATATAAATAAATAGGTTGTAGAAAGGGAGGGGGAGTAATATATGAAAAATGAATGAAGAAGGTGAAGGTCCCCTTTAATGCTCACAGCAGGTTGACATTAGCAGTACTACAAGTACCAGCATGCTCCAGGAGGCGTCTCCCAGGTTGTAGCCCAGCACTAGGGGTATCGGAGCGATGTGTGGGCTCGGCTCTCCCCGGTCACACTGTACCTTGTAGGTGTTCTCGGTGATCCTGGCCACGGCCTCCGGGTCCCGGGACATGGCTGCGCTCGTCTCCTCAGTGACCGGCTCTCTCTCTCCGTACACCCGCTAGCTGCGCCCGCCGCCCCGGCTCCTCACCATGCCCGGTTCCAGCCTCTCGCAGCACCACCTCACAACAACTGTCAAAACTTGTGGGAGCGGCGGCTGCGGGCTGAGGAGGGAAGGTGGGGCCGGTGAGGTCAGCAGCAGGTGCCGGGGAAGGGACGTACCTGGGCGGAGTATGGAGGGGGGGGGGGTCACTGGGAGCGCCACACACCGTTCACCTAGAGTCAGCAGGCAGACACTGAGGGGAATGTGAAGAGTGATACACACACGGTGCTCGGTCACTTCAATAAACTTGATACATGTATATGAAGAAAAATTTATTCCACGGTCCACCTGCACCACGAGCTCTATTTATAAACTAGCGAATGGGACTTACACACATTCGCTGGTGGAGAACTAATCCCTTTATTTACACGCGGACCTGGATGGTACTCCACCAGAGAATGTGTGTGAAAGTCACATTCACTGCCTTATAAACAGACTACTATGTTTTTGTGAATTGAGCCCCCTGTTGTTTTCTCCTCAGACACAATTCATGTAGTAGAGTTTCTCTAATTAGGCCTCATGCACACGGCCACGGCCATATAAGCTGCGCCTGGCGATTCCTGCGGTAAAAAATGATTCTTGTGACAGGATTCCCAGGTGTGTCCGTACGGATGTGGCGCTGTGCCCATTCAAATGAATGGCAGGCTGGCAGCAACCGCATTCACTTTGCTTGGCACTACCAAAAAAAATATAAGACAGTGTCTTATTTTTGGTGAAACACGGTATCTACCTGTCATTAACGTGAAGGGGCATAAGGACCGCATCACTATGGACACATCCGGGAATCTCCACAGTGGGGATGCAGATGGTCTAACCCAGGGCTCAAAATTTCAAGTCCTGAGCTACTAGCCAGGCCTTAAAAGTTACTCGCCACCAGTTGCCCCACCTAACCCCTACCATGCCCCGGACTTAACTCCGCCAGGTCAGTAATGTGACGCACAACGCAGAGGTCAGAGTGACGCACAGCGCAGAGGTCAGAGTGACGCACAGCGCAGAGGTCAGAGTGACGCACAACGCAGAGGTCAGAGTGACGCACAGCAAAGAGGTCAGTGTGACGCACAGCGCAGGGGTCAGTGTGACGCACAGCGCAAGCTGCATAACTTTCTGGCTGGCCGGTCTCACTGTCTCTGCAATCTTCCTCCCAGCCTGGCAGCTGAGGTGGGCGGAGGAAGCTGCAGAAAACAGCGGATGTCATCGAGGAGCGCCGCCGACGGGACCAGAGATGGGACACTACCGCCACGACGATCGTTCGCTTGTGTTCTTCCTTCTTGGCCCCTCTGTAGCTGCAGCGGCCGATGAGAAGAGGGAACAGAAGTGAGCAATCTCTGGTCCCGCCGGCGGCGCTCCTCGATGAGATTCCACTCGCCCCCACGCAATTTTCACTCGCCAATTGCGAGGGGGCGAGTGGAAATTTTGAGGCCTGGTCTAACCCTTATCCATTAGGGTTGCCACCTGTCCAGGATTCACCCGGACAATCCTTTTTTTGGATTCTTGTGTTTTTCCAGTCAGCTGACACCCGGATACAAGACACTATGAAGGTTTTTTGACAGATGCTGCTGTCGAGGTCCCCAGCAAGCACAGTACCTCAGCCAGCTGCATCCGCCAGAAGCTTCAACTTCCTGTGAGCCGTGGGTGCCTGTAAACAGGCGCAAGCCGGCCCTCACATCTCCTCCTCAGTCTGACACAGCGTTGCCCACCTCCAGACCCCCGGTGAGACATCGCACAGCCCGCTCAGAAGATCTTGCATATCCCAACGGCCATAGACCCCCCACATAGCCCACTTGAGAGCCTGCATAACCCACCTAAAGTCTGCATAGCCCACTGGAGAGCCCGCGGAGTCCACCTGAGAGCACGCACAGCCCTGCACAGGCCACCTGAGACCCTGAGGACATCGGGGCGCCACCCCAGAACAACACAAAATATGTAGCTTCATATTATTTTGTATTGCTGTATATAATGTATTGCTGGGATTTGTAGTCCTCTATAGCCTATAGTCTCCTTACTCCCTCCCCTGGCTGCCTCTCCTCGCTCTCTCCGTATTCTCCGCCCAAAACAAATAGCTGTGCGCGGTGCAAGAGTGTTCGGGTTTCACTTGAAGAAAAGGCGGCAACCCTGTTCCCTACGCCAAAAAAAGGTTTGTCTAAAGATACACTTTGGGGCCTGTTCACACTATTAATATGCGTTTAGTGCAATGTTATAGTGTGAATGTGCCCCAAATGTGTCCTAAAAACGAAAACAAGGCTGGCTCCAGAGCGGTGCATTTTTTTTATCCGCACCAAAAACACTTAAGGTGCCCATACACCTCAGCGGGGAGGGCTTGCGATGACCGCAAGTATGATCTGCCTGTCCAAGATGGGCAGATTGTACAAAATTTTAATGACCGTACAACCATCGCACAACGAAAGTCGTGCGATGGTTGTAAGGTGTATGGCCAGCTTCACACAGTAATTAAATGGTGGTCTTAAATGAGGTTAGTTCACACTAATGCCTTCCATTCCAGAACATTTAAATAAAGTACAGCAGCATGCTTTTTCTCGCACTGGAATGCACTAAAACGCATGTAAATACACCAGAAGGCACAGGAACATGCTTAAACCCAAGCAAAACCAGTTTAAAAAACACAGCTGACCATATAAAAAATGCACATACATGCATATGCAGTAACACATCCAGATCTGGCTTGGAGATAGCGTGAACAAAAAGTCAAAGCGGCTCTCTCACCTTAAAAAGACCTACAATAAAAAGATTTAGGGCTCATTTACACCAAGTGTGTTAAGCTGCGTTGCTCAGCATTGATCAACACAGGCTCAACGCAAAGGACACATAGATGACAGTTGTTTTCTATGTGACAGGTTCACACCATACATGTGCAGTGTGTAAAAATGCAGCATGTCTGCGCGAGCATAGAAATGGAAGAAATTAATTTTGTCATTTTGTGACATTTCGATAAAGTAAAAAAATAATAAAAAGTAATCAGTGTGATGCTGCACCGTCCCTGCACAACGCCGCACAGCATAACGCCTGGCTGCTTGTGTGAATGAGCTCCCGTATGTTTTTTAAAAAGGTCTACGCAGAGTCTCCCCACAACATAGTTATATCAGCTGCTGGTCCAGCCAGTAGATCTGTTATTTTTCATGGGTGACACTGCTGCTTGTTCTGCAGTTATATTGAATACTAGCGTTGTCACCCTGTACACAGGGTAGTCTTAGATGGACGCACAGTTTTAATCAAGCAACCTAAAGCCCAACTCCAGATAACATTTTTTAAGTAGTTACAGCAACAGGAGTTTTTTCTTTTAAAACATAAGAATTAGGGATGCACCGATACCGTTTTTTCGGTATCGAGTACCGATATTTCTTGTTTTGGTACTTGCCGATGCCGAATACCGATACTGGAAGTCTCTCCCGCTCCTAGCAGACTCCCGTCCGGCTGTTCACAAACGGCCATGGACGGAAGGTGGTTAAGGAAGCCATGCAGCGTGTAATGACTCGCCATCCGGCTTCCCAATTAGCAGGGAATCCGTCTCCATGCTTCCTCGTCACCGGGTGAAGCCAGCTTCCTGGCCAATCAGGAAACCAAGGGGAGGGGGGTAATGACAAATCAGGAAGCTGTGTGCCGTGTAATGACTTGCCGCCTGGCTTCCAGATTGGCCGGGAAGCAGGCTCTATGCTCCCTCGTCATCAGGTGACGAGGGAGCATGAAGCCGGCTTTCTGGCCAATCAGGAAGCCGGGGGGGGGGGCGGGTAATGACTCGCCCTCCGGCTTCCTCATTGGCCATCTTCACGACCAAACAGGAAGCCGGGCTCATTACATGCTGCCCAGTTTCCTGATTGGCCGGGAAGCCGGCTCCATGCTCCCTCGTCATCAATTGACGAGGGAGCATGGAACCGGCTTCCTGATACTAGAAGTTCGTGGATCGGGCTGGGCATCGGAGCATTTGGGCGAATACAAGTACATGCCCAAATACTCAGTATCGATGCATCCCTAATAAGAATAAAAGGTGATCATTGTACATACCCCCCGAAGTGTTATACCATTAGACCCCTTGCTAAAAAATTGGTTTCGTTCCGGCCGATTACAATTTTTCTTTCTTTTTTTCGGATTTTGGATCCAAAATCCAATTCAGTTCATTAATCAGATTTTCAATCTTTCTGAATTCTCGTTTCGGATCTCTTCGGATTGGGTTCTTTCATTATAAATTAACTTCATTCTTTTTTGGGAGGTTTTTTTGCTCGTTTTAGTTCTGAGACCGTGTGGTCTCCTACCTCTCTTATGGACTCTCTCTACTTCACAACAAATAGTCACATGACTGTGCCTGTGATGCAACCCCCCAACAGCCCAAAAAATCTGATTCGCCAGAGAACAGTCACATGTCTAATTGAGTATCATTTTAAACAAAATTTGGACGGATCTGAATTTTTGTTAAACGTACATTCAGATTCGCTCGCATTTGGAAGCGTTTGAATTCAGCAATTCGGATGCATATGAATGTACAAATTTAACTAAATTTGTACGAATATCCAATCGGAATTAAATTAAATTGACATGTCTATATACCACACACCTCCCAACTGGCCCCATTTGGGACCAAATCCTTCTGTCCCTCTTTCTTCCTCAGTTGTCCCTATTTTTGGTCTTATATGAAGATCTCTATGATAAGGTTCTATTTGAAGCGGAACTCCAGCATATTAAAAAAAATTAACCCTTGTAGCGGGGTCACCCCGGCACTGCAAGGATTAGATGCTTGTTTTGCCTAGGGCAGGGGTAGCCAAACACCGGCCCTCCAGATGTGGTGAAACTACAAATCCCATGATGCATCTCTCTCCGAGAGTCATGTCTGTGGCTGTGAGAATCTTGCAATGCCTCATGGGATTTGTAGTTCCACCACAGATGGAGGGCCGACATTTTTGGCTACCCCTGGTCTAGGGGATGAAAATAAAGATCCAATCCTCAGTCCCGCTTGGTTGCTAGACCGGTCAGCGCCGCCTCTTCTCCCCCGGCCTCTGGTGGTCTAAGGACCCATGATGTCATCACATCTAATACAGTAAAGATGCCAAGGGACATACCATAGCCAGAGTGGAGGGGGAGTCACTGCCACAGGACTGAGGATCAGGTGAGT